ATTTACCTCGACTTGAGACCAACTCGAGTTGCAACCAGAGTCACAGAACAGATTAAGTTCGTAACTAGAGGTACCACTGTAACTGCTCTTCGCTTTATCTGTGTGATCTCATTTCTTCTGGTCTTGGACTGCAAATGAGATCAATACATCAGGCCAGCTTGCCAGCCATCTCTCTGATCCACATTATCCTTCATTCAGGATGTTTCTGACATTGGGATTCGGTTTTCCAGCCAGCAAATGATCATGGTAAGAGGGGGAAAGACATACCGTAAAAAGGCATTGGGTATGGGAGACTACTTGTCTAACATTAGGGGGAAAGAAATGTACCCAAACATGTGCAAGAATCCGCATCCATTTATTTCTCCTTCTTCAAAATCAGTCAGGAGCTAAAGAGAAGCAGATTAAAATGAGCCTCTGCTTGGAAAAGGGGGAACGCTTTAAAAACCAATTTGTCTGTTCCTGCCAATCCACTGTGAGATGCAGAAATGTGGATTTCATACGCTGAAGCGGAGAATGCTGTTTCCAGTCATGAGTGAAAACAGCTATTAAAACCCCTTCTGTCTCACTTGGTTGGGCGGCTGATGGATTTGGGGAAAGGGAAGATAACACTGGACTTATCATGCTAACGATGTCCCTTCAGTGATGGTGGTTTAACCCCCACTCTTTTTTTTTTAAATAATATTTTTATTGAAGTTTAAGAATACAAAGAAAAAAAACTAGTAGAAACTAAAAAAAAGAAAAAAGAAAAGTGCAGAGAAAAGAAGGAAGGAAGGAAGGAAGGAAGGAAGGAAGGAAGGAAGGAAGGAAGGAAGGAAGGAAGGAAGGAAGGAAGGAAGGAAATATAAGAAAAAGGAAATATAAAGAAATGACTTCCTCCTTCATCAAGGCAAATGCAAACAATTTCAGTAACTTATCACCTTCTCTAACATTTCAGCCAAAGATCTCTTCTTCCCATATCTCCTCTCTTATATATAAACAAATAATAAAGCCTTGTCATTCAATCTTAATCAGCAAATATCCATTAAGAGTTACCAGAAATAACAGCATATATATTTTAACCTTAATCAAATCAATCCATTTCATATTCCTTTCCTTTCCTTTTAACACAATAACTTATCATTTTCTCTAAAAATGCCAAAAAAAAAATTCTTCTTCCCATATTTTATCTCTTATCTCTAAATAAATCTTTAAAGCCTCATCATTTGAACTTAATCAAGAAAAATCCATTAAGAACTACCAGAAACAGCAACAAATCAAACATGTTGATCTTTAATCCCTTCAAATAGTCTCCCACAAGTTAATTTCTTATCGTTTTCCCTTTGTCTCCTCTCAGAAACTCCTTCGCAAGTTTAACACGTACTAGAAATAACAACATCTATATTGGCCCCCACTCTTTTAAATAAGTGGTGAAGAAGATCACCCCCACTTACCCCATCCAAAGAGAACAAGCCACCAGTAGTATCTTCTTCCATGGGGAAAGGACGAGAGGAGCAGGCAATTGAGGTACAGAGCTTCTGCTAACAACCACATGAAGTTGGCCATGGTGAAAAAGTGAAGGAGGACCACCGAGATCTTGCATTCAGGCTAAGGAAGAAGCAAGAGGAAATCTCAAAGAACCTTCTCATTTTCACAGATCAGTGAAACCTTATTTCTGAATGACACCCTTGAGTTTCTCCCCTGAATGAATCAAAGCCAACCAAACCATCCAGGCTTGGAGGATCTACACAAACTTATTTTCCCATTGGATTTGGGCTAGGTTAGCAAACTCTCAGTGCCCAGGGGATGCAGGAGGGTGGAGGAGAGGGTGAGGAACAGAGAGGACAAAAGAAGGATGCAAAGTAGGCAGAGCTATGATGGGCACAGCCAGGATTTCCTGTTTTTTCTAGTGTTGGCTTGTTTGTTCTTCCTGCTAAAAAAAATGGAGGGGAGTCATAGTGCTGGGTTATGGCACCTGTGCTTAGACAAAGCCCTGAGATACTTGTAGATTGTTTATAGCTGTAGTCACTCAGCATGTCCATTCTTGCTCTGTACCAGTGTTTCTCAACCTTGGCAACTTGAAGAGGTCTGGACTTCAGCTCCCAGAATTCACCATCCAGCCTGGTGGATGGGGAATTCTGGGAGTTGAAGTCCAGACCTCTTCAACTTGCCAACATTGAGAAACACTGGTCTATGCAATCAGTGTTGTCAAATGGATTCTCCTGACATTTGTTTGAAAGTTTTGTTTTGTTAGGACACAAACACTAGAGTTGACGATGAGGGTCCCATGTCAGAAATAGTACCATTCATCACCTCCTGAAAATGACTGTCATCTTTATGTCTCCTTTGAGAGCTTCTCAAGAGTTTTGGAAGCTTGCAAAGTAGAGGTTCATCCTCCTCTCCTGGCTGAGGACCACACATGGCATTGAGTAATATACCAGAGGCTGCATTTCCAATACTGGGTGGGCTGGAACTAAAATACAATTTGATCATCTCTAGATTTAAAATGAAAATAGATGTTGCAGCATTAAATTAGTTCACTGGCACTTATTTAAATAAATGTGACTGCTAAGATGATTCCTTCCTGCGTATCTAATCACTTTCTTCTTCCGCTGCTTTGAACGTTACAATTCAGTGGTAACTTTTGGAAGAACTCTGCAGGATGGGAGAAGACCTAAAGGTGATACCTGGGAAAGATGCATATCCCCTTTGTAGAGAGATCCACAAATAGAAGCAGAATATGGGACCTTTGATCTTTTCTGGTCCTCTATGACTTCCTTTGGAAGCTCCCCTGAGTTTTAAATCTAGTTTGTAGCAGGAGCAAGAGAAAGCATGACCCAGAACAAAACAGCTAGGTCACCATGATTCTTTCCACCCAAGCAGGAGAAGCAACGAGACCCCTTTTCATTCCACACCTTACCGTGGAGAAGCTGCAGTATTCACTCCCTTCACTCTCTAGAAGAACCGCATCCTTGATGAAGATAGCAATGGCCTTCAGGATGAAGGTGAGAAAGAGGTGGACATGGATGTAGTTCCTGGGGCAACGGAGTCTCCTGCAGGAAGAGAGAAGGCAATGGGAATCCAAGAGGACAAATCCTGCGTATGTTCGTTGTTAGCTTCATTGAAGCTTACTATCCCTTCTCTGTAAGCTGTCCTTGGCTTTTATGATAAAGATAGGACTTAAATGCAATAAACCAATTTGTCAAGAAATCGTGCTGGTTGGGGAGGAAACTGGAACCATCGGTCAGTCATTGCATCCTTAGCAACTTAGGAAATCTTTGGTTCAGTTCTGGCCTTTGCTCCATGTTCTTCAGGCATCACACTTCCAGTTACTCACCGGCACAATGGGGATAAGGGCATTGGTCAACCCCACAGAGTTCTTGCAGTAAGTGTGCAGTCTACGTGCTGTGTCGCAATAAACACATAACCCACAAGTGAAATGCATTTGGAGGAAGGTATGTTCCTAATGTGATACATATGCAATTAATGAGGGTGATGATGATGATGATGATTCAAATGCTGCCCAGAGTTCTACTTCCCAGGATCCTGTAAACATACCTGAATGCAACAAGGACCAGGACTGCCATGACAAGAGAGGTAGCTGAGATGCTATAACCCACTGTGTAGATGGTCTGGATTGTTGAAAAGAAGGAGAGCTGGAATGAAAAGCGAATCAACCGTTCAGTTGAACTTTTGAAACAGATCGCACGATTCTACAATGATCAAGAGCATTCCTTATAACCCTGTTGTGCCTGTTTCATGACCTGGCCTACCTCAAAGAGCAGGCATCAATCTTGAGAGCCCATCCAGGTCTCTCTGTCCCTCTTATGCTAAACAAAATCAAGGTGGGGTTTCTTTCTCACACTTCCCTCTTTCTCCAGATTGTGTCCTCTGTTCCCCAAAGCCCTCCTTAACATCTCGCTGTGCCTTCCTAATTCTCAAGGTTAGCTCTATGTTCCCTGAACTGGTGGACTGGGAGCCAGGGAGAAAGCAAGCCAGAGGGTGGTACCATGAGAGACAGGACATTCCCACCCCTCTTGCATCTGTATCTCCCATGAGTTCCAAAGATGGGACTCTGACTTAGTGGTTACACACAGCATGAGTGAAAAATCCCACACCTTGGGATTTAACTGAAGCAAGAGAAGCTGGGTCACAACTACAGATGAGTTTGCAACCAAGTGATGCTCGTCCATAAGGTCATGAAATGGCCATAGAAAGAAATCAGCAATGATGTGCTTCCCATTGCAGAGTCCTATCAGTCTGCCCCCAAAGTCCTACCCTCATTTTTAATTAGCTGAAGCATGGAGATACCCAGCGAACCTTTTTAAAGTCACTTATCCCCACGATCTGGCCTTTGCTTCATCAAATGTTTTGATTTTAAAGTAGTGTTTTCCCTCTTCCTTTGACACAAGTTGTCATGCACATGACAGTGCTTCACGGACAGTGCTGCGGATGATACAGTCAGGATCTGGGATCTGTTGAGCTCCAGCTGGTGGCTTTAGACTACTGAAAGTATGTCCTTCTCCCCCTCTAGTCAGAGAGGTTTTCTCTTTCTTTCTTTCTTTCTTTCTTTCTTTCTTTCTTTCTTTCTTTCTTTCTT